GATTCAATGAAGGGATATTTGTGAGTGAGCAAGAGGTGGCAGTGGTGTGATGGGAAAAGAGGAAAAAAGCTGGAGCCGGAAGCCTGGTCCCACCATCCACTCACTTCATTCATTCATTCACTCACTCAGTCATTCAGCAGATATATATTGGGCATTTGCTGAGTGCTAAGCACTACTGCAGGAGCTGGGCATGAGGCAGTGAGGGAAAGACACAAACACACCCGCCTCCTGGAGTTTATATTCTTGTGGGTGTGAAAGGCAATAAGCAGAACAAACTCAGTTTCCTCCCACAAGATTTTGTCAGGGAGTCTCACAAGATGTCTATGGAGGATGGTAGAGTAGAGCCTGAAGAGCGCGGGCTTTCACGTCAGGATTCCTGGGTTTGAGCACAGGCTGAGCCAGTTCCTGGCTGTGTGACTCTGGGAATATTACTCAGCCTCTCTGAGCTTCCATTTCTTCAAGTGTAAAATGGGAATAATGATCCCTATCAACCTAGATTGTCAGGATGAATACATGCAATAATATATGTAAAACCCAAAGTAGTCGAACGCCATGGACAGGAGCACTATGATTATTGATGCTGTGGCCCTGAGGCTGCCCTGAGTTCTCAGAGTCTGGGATTCCCTGAAGAAACACTGGTTTCCGAGTCACAGGCAAAGGAGGGGTCTTCCAGGGAACCCAGTTGTTCAGCTCTGCTCAGCCACTGACAGGACCCCCTTCCACACTCCCAGAACAAATAAGTGGCCCTTTCCACTGAAAACAGGCCATCGTGTCTCCTAATTTCCTGAAACGACACGTGGACCCTTTCTGTTCAGAGGAGCCAGAGAAGCGGGGAAGGAGAGAGCTGGTTTAGGGGCAAGTGGAGCCCCAAGGAGCTGTGTGCAGCTGCAGACTTAATCCCAATGAACAAAAGCCACCTGGGCACCGGCAGGGCTGGGCCTGGCTGGCCCATTTGTTTGCAGGCTGCGGGTTGCCAGGGCTTTGAGAGCACCCTGGGCGAGGGCCTTGCAGGGAGATTGTGTTTGCCTTCCCGGGTGCCAGCCCTGCCAGGCAGCCTTCACTTTATAACCCGGCCTACATCTGACCACTGTGCTCCGAGCGGGGCCAGGCTCGTGGAGGCCGGGAAGGTTGAATTTTAATCAGAATGTTCTTTCACCCTTAACGCTGCTGCTCCCAGGCTAGTGAATTGCCTTCCCTGAAACCCTCAAAGCGCGCACACACACACACACACACACACTCCCCTTATACTTAGTCCTTTCATGCACTTCTCACAGTTCATATATTTAAAAGCCATTTTTTAAAAATATGTTTTTATTGATTTTTAGAGAGAGAGGAAGGGAGAGGGAGGGAGAGAGAGAAACATGGATGTGAGAGCGAAACATCGATCAGTTAGTTGCCTCTTGTTTGCGCTCCTACCAGGGATGGAGCCCTCAACCTGGGCATGTGCCCTGACCGGGAATCGAACCGGAGACCTTTGGGTGCATGAAAGGACACTCAACCAACTGAGCCACACTATCCAGGGCCATGTGCCATCTAACCAAGTCAACCTCTCGTGGGTAATTGAAATGTCAGGCAGATCAGGAGCTCTGCTCGCTCCTGCTGACTACAGCCTCCCCACGGCGTGGGTCCTTATTACAATTAGGCTCCCAGATTTAGCAGATAGAACCACAAGATGCCCACTTACATTAGAAATTCAAATAATGAATGATTTTCAATTAAAATATGTCCCGGGCGATACTTGGGACATACACTAAAAATTACTGGCTATTTATCTGAAGTTCAAATGTAGCTGCGCACCCCGCATTTCACCTAGCAGCCCTGCTTACAACTTGTCTGTCACGCTCAGTGACTGTATACAGAAAGGAAGGGTGACCGAGGCCAATGCAGGATCACAAACAGACGCCCAGTGCAGGTATTTTACTGGGAAGTACACACCCACATCTCAGGGCTGATGACTGCCAGGTGATAGGATTTACTGGAGAATTTTTCAGTTTCCTATGTGACTTTCTACGTTTTTCAGTTTGAACTGAGCAGAAAAGTTTTCAAATACCACATCTGTATGTATTTATACCTATACACACACACACTATCTTTCCAAAAAATGAGCCTGCTTACAAGAGGAACAATTTGTGCTTTCCCTCAACCCGAGCCCCAGAATTTTCTGAACACATCCCACAGTCAGGGACATTTGGGCGTCTATGGGAAGATTACTGAAAGCAATATTGAGAAACGTACGCAGTACAGCAGTAAACTAGGGTACACAAAAGGTAGGAAGAAGTTAAAAAAAATGTTGCCGCTTAATCGTATAGTGCTTCTTAAGAAAATTGGCTCCTGAAGCTTTGGGGATATAAAAACAAGTCTAGTTAAACCCAAGACACAAATCTTGATTAAATTGTACATAATGTATTGTAGATACTTTGTTTTTTTCCCTTTGATTTGCAGAATGAGGGTGGAAAACAAGACAAACATAAGCTCCTATAGAAAATGAGTTAAAGACCAGCCCCCCTTCCCCACCCCACATACAACTTCCCATGATGCCTTGGGGCCAAGAACAATTCAGGTTCGTCTTCTGGGTGTTCAGTGATGGGAACGTTCAGAATGACACCTTAATGGAGCAAGAAAGGGAAAGAACTGCGATTTGTAAGGTGCTCACTACGTGCTGGGCCCCAAGAATAGTACTTTGTCTCTTAATTAAACTGTACATCATGTACAGTAGATACTTGGATTTTTTCCCTTTGATTTGCAGAATGATACAAACAACCCAAGTTACACACATTAACCCTATCTTAGAACAATGCCACTTAATGATAAAGACTGTGCACAATCACACCTTGTTTTTAAGGGGCTTAATAGTTGTGGAGCCACTTAGATATGCTGTACTTCCTAAGGCAGAAAGCATTTGTTGGAAGGAACTAATATGCTTTCTGAAGATCTTCAGCTGCGGGTTTAGAAGACAAAGGTTTTCTGCTGTACTTTGAGGAATGGTGGGTGCCCTTCCCAGTTTTCAGTGCTGATCGTGGTGCCAGAATGAGGGGGTGAAGGTGGGGTGTCTCTTCTCTCTCCTCTATCAATCTTAATGGTGCCCTATGTTCCACTGTGAGAGTCAGTGTGAGAAGATGGGAAGGACAGGACAGATGTCGTGTCGTCACCAAGTCAGCACACATGGAGAAGAGAGTGTCGCCTGGAATGACACTCTCTTTTATTGCCTCCATGTGGCAAGTAGCGAAGTCTGCAGACTTTGGCCAGATTAAGGCCTCATAACACCCATGTTGTAGAAAACATGGGACTGGAATGAAACCAGCCTAACCTACTCAGCAATGAGAGACGAGCAGATGGGGAAAACGCTGTCTGTCTTTAGGAAGGGCTCCTGGTCTTCAAAAGAGAAAATTCGTTGGGTGAACATTTGAAGAAGGAAATGTGACTTTGCACAGAGAAAGCCTGTGAAGTGGGAGCGCTCCTTCCTTTTCAGGGCAGAGAGAGCCAGACAAAAAGACAATGCGATGATTGCTAAGGAAGGGGAAGAAAGAGCTGCCTCCATTTGACTCTTTCCATGGTGGCATTTTGAACAGGCCACTCAGAAATACTGATTAGATACATGGACTGGAGCCAAAATTAGACTCTACCATGTCTCAGCCGTGCATAAACTATAATAGACCTGTTTTCAAGTCACAGAGCCATCTCCAGTCAACGGTGGCATGTTTGAGCAGAGTGTTTATTAAGTGGAGTGTGTTAATTAAAGAGGGAGGGAGACAGGTTTAATGCACTCAGTCCTCTAGGGAAATGTCCCTAACACACAGTGACATTTCAATTATTTTCCCATTACTATTCTCTGAATAAAGACCTCTTTCTCGTCTTTGCTGGGAAGTAAGCACTGCTTGGTATGCATATTTAAATAAGTCATACTGAATTAGCTTTAAGAATCGGCTCTCAACATAATGGCTGCATTAAAATGTAAATAAAATGAGCCAGCCACAGAAAGACCTCCACACAAGAAGGAGCAGGAAATAGGAGATAAGTCCAGCCTTGCCATTTCCTAAGCCTTGGAGTGTCAGAGTGGCCTTGAGAGATCACTTAAGCTAACTCCAGCCCAGTTAAAACCTGTTTGGTGAGAAAGGCAGCACCTATCCTTGCTGCAAGGAAACCAGTTTTATTGCCAATCGTTAAAAAAATGTTTTTATTGATTTTAGAGAGAGAGGAAGGGACAGGGAAGACAGAAACACCCATGTGAGAGGAACATTGATTGGCTGCCTCCTGCACACCTCCTGCTGGGTATCGAGCCTGCAACCCAGGCATGTGCCTTGAATGGGAATCGAACCAGCGTCCTCTCGGTCAGTGCCAATCATTTTAAGGAGAAAGCGCTTTGTACAAGTTCTAAAGATCAACCTCACGTCAGCTAGTGATGCCATGCTTCGTACCCAAAGTCTCTGCCCCACGCTTAACGGGGGGAAAGTATCTAATGAGTGAGAAAACATCTGAACTCATTCCTTCAACCTATTTTATTACAATGCTTTAAAAAATAAAATTTGACCTCAAGGGCAAGAGAAACTGACAACTGGACCAAGCAGTATTTATTGGTGACAATAAAACAGCTCTCTTATTTCATTATCAAGTAAAAGACACCAAGAACAAAAGTCCTTAAGGAAGATTCTAATAAAGGCTTTGCAAAGGCACAACTAGAAATCAAGATACGATCATGTCACAGTATGGGGGTGAGGTGGGAGTGTCTCCATTCAGAGGTGCAATCAAACCACTTACCACAGCCCTGGCTCGTGCGGCTCAGTTGGTTGGGTGTCATCCTGTGCACCGAAAGGCTGCCAGTTCGAGTCCCCATCAGGGTACATGCCTGGGTTGCAGGCTCAATCCCCACCCCTGATCCCGGGTAGGGGGACATGAGGCAGCAGATTGATGTTTTGCTCTCACATCGATGTTCCTCTCTGTCCCTCTTCCTCTCTCTCTAAAAATCAATTTACAAAATATTTAAAAATAAAAACCCCACTTACCACAAATTAACCAGGAAAGGGTGCTCCAGACCCTGCATGATCTGCAGCTCCTTGAAGACATTTCTCACTTCGTTGCGCTCGACACACTTCTGTTTGTTCATGTACTTCATGGCGTACATCTTCTTGGTGTCATTCTTCTGGACGATGCAGACCTACAGGGGCGAACCAGAGGGACAGAGTGATCAGGGAGGTGACGGATCAGCGACCAACCACAGAGCAGGAGCCGTTCTTCCGCGTGGCTTGGAGGCCTTACCCCTCACAAATTCTCCGATGCCAAAGCTGCTGCTTAGTTCAGGTTTCAGAGTAAAACATTTAAAAAATGAAAACATGGTACAACTTCCCTCGCACCAGGTCAATGCCTAAATCTCTGCTTTCTTTTGCCTGTTTTTGCATTGGGATTTTTCTTTTTTTTTAGCAGCATTTTGGAGAAAAGAGCTGCCTCCTCATCAGGAATCTTCCCATAGCAAATGACACCCTTAATCTGCTCTGAGTGACTTAAATGAATGGGCTCAACTGTCCATCTGAACGACAGTGTGTAGCAAAGAATCTGTTTACACCCACTGGTGCTATAACTAACCAAAAGGGCTTTCAGCGCAGGGCTAACACTAAACACAATATCCACATTTTTGAAATTTTTTAGAGGTTTATACAATGCCTGATAATGTAGACAGCAAATAATTTTAAAACGCAAGTTCAATATGAAATATTCTCAAGATACATCTCAACTAAGCAACTAATAATCAGGATTTGAATCCAGAAGTTTCTTATAAAAAAATTAGACTGGATACGTATATTTTTTCAAAGTAGATTTTTAAAAACGAAAACATGGTACAACTTGAGAAAAACAGAAATCAGGTAGAATCTTTACCACATGAAGAGACTGAATGCTTACAGTGACAAGATAACTGCTTTTGAGTGTACTGGTGCAATTCGAAAACAAGCCTGAAATCTTACTCTCTCCATTAGAGTAGAGAGAAAGTCTTAAACTCCAGTGAGAGTAAATGGATTTGACTTTGAGATAATTATGAGCTGCCTGTCCCATGTTCTCCTCAAACTTTGGTGACAATTTTATACAAATCCATTATAAAAACATCTCTGAATTGTCATTCCTTCTGGTCCCCGTAACTCAGTAAGCTGAACATTCTTGGATTCTCTGTTTCCTGAGCTGCAGAAGTCATTTGGATTCTCACCTTCCCAAAACTGCCTTTCCCAATGGCTCGCAAAATTTCGAAGTGGTCAAAGTTAACTGTAAGACAAACAGAAGAACACCGTGAGTGACTATCAGTTGTACATTAGTAGCTAAGAAATAATCAATAAAGACTGGGCTAAACCGAAGAACCTTGTTTAAAACAATATTCAAGATGGCCTTAAAATGCCCATTCGTTCATCCAATAAACATTTCTTGAACATTATATTATGCCTTAATCACAGAGCTTCCTAGGGGTGTATATAGTAGTAATAGAGCAGAAATCTAATCTCTGCCTGGATGGAGCCTGTAGGCCAGTGAGGGCTCCATACAGAAAGAAACCCTTAAGGATTAAACAGTCACAAAAAACAAGTGGACCATTAAAACTCCTGCTGAATGTTAAGGATAAAGCTGTGGGGTTCTAAGAGCATGGAACAGGGTTTCACACAGGTGGCACCATCGGGGGAGCGTCTCTGAACACAGGCAATCACAGGGACATCCGGTCCTCTATGGATCTGGCCCGACTAAGGAGCAGCACTTTAAATATCTTCTCCCTGCCTGTTTTTCCTCTCCAGCCACTCTTATGTATCTTAATAATTTCAATTTTCCAAAGTAGAAAACTATCACACTCCTAAGTTCATAGAATGAGCCGATCTCCAAGGTGCTATAAAGTCAAGATGGTCTTTTCCACCTTCCAATTGAACACTTCAGCGCCCAGAGGTCCAAGGCAGTAGGCGTTCATAGGTGGCACGGTCTCCTGAGCCAGTGCTCATGAAATGCTGGGCGATGGGAAGAGCAAAGTATAGACTCTCTGAGGGGACAATCTGTGCCTTGGTGATTCTGAGCAAAGGTTCCACTTTGTTTCCTGGGGTTTAGGTGAGTAAAATTCCAAATGAGGGATTGTAAGAGCTTACTCAGAAAAGGTTGGGAAGCACTAAAAGGTAACACTCTTGTCTTTAAAAGATGTATTTCTCTCTCTCTCTTTTTCTTTGAGAATAATTAGATTAGCTCTTCCTGAAGGAAAGACAAAGAGATAAGGGGACCTCTTAAGGTTTTCCCAAGCTTTCTGAGGGTCAAAACATTTTTACGGTATGACCTGTGTACGAAAAGGGGGCCACATACTAAACCTGACAAGCTCAGGACAGGCCTGGGGGGGGCTTACATACTCAGTAAGCACATAGGCGGGTCTGAAATGAAAACTTCCTAACTGAAAGCGAGGCNGGCTTACATACTCACTAAGCACATAGGCGGGTCTGAAATGAAAACTTCCTAACTGAAAGCGAGGCATTGTGAGAAGTCGTGTCCTAAGAGGATATCTTCCTTGACAGAGGTCCATCTTTACCTTAACTGAGCCTATTGTCACTTTTGCATCCAGGGTAATATAGCTTTGGAGTGTCAGGGTCGTCCCTTTTCCCAGACCCCTCAGGGCACAGCCTCCCACCAGAGCACAGAGCCCAGCACCCCTCTCCCTGTTGTCTTGTTCTGTTGCGTAGGTCCCTATGTNTAGCTTTCGAGTGTCAGGGTCATCCCTTTTCCCAGACCCCTCAGGGCACAGCCTCCCACCAGAGCACAGACCCCAGCACCCCTCTCCCTGTTGTCTTGTTCTGTTGCGTAGGTCCCTATGTGCTGTAAATGTTAACTGTTCTCACCAACATAAAAGAAGTGTACGTCTATCTGTTTTATTGTTGATCCAATCTCAGAGATTCCCCCGCTTGGCCTTCTCCCGCCTCCATAATCTGTCACCAATGGATTTCATGTAACCCCCTTATGTCTTTCCCTTTAATTCTGATGTATAANGTTTGCCCACCAACGTAAAAGAAGTGTACGTCTATCTGTTTTACTGTTGATCCAATCTCAGAGATTCCCCCACTTGGCCTTCTCCCGCCTCCATAATCTGTCACCAGTGGATTTCATGTAACCCCCTTATGTCTTTCCCTTTAATTCTGATGTATAAAATACGTGGAAAAACTACCATTGTACGGAGCATTTCTCAATCCGTTGAGATTCTGCTTCCTGGCAATTGTCGTCAGTTTGGCTCAAAGAAACTCATAAAAATTCTCTACCGGTTCGGATGTTTCTTACATTGACAGGCTTCATAATCACTTCCTCCTCTGAACTCCCAAATCACTGTATTTCTAGCACAAAAGCCATTTAACCATGTGAGGCTGCGTGTGCACTGCAAATAATCCTGGATTTAGGCTCAGCGTAATGACGTGACTTGTAAATGACGGACTTTTCTCATCAGCGAAAATGGGACCGACCCTCCTTGGTAAGAAGAGAACACCTTTCCTCCGAAAGTGCTCATGAAGTTGTTTACTTAGCAAAGGCAAGTGAGTGACATCTTCCCAAACTCCCTTGGTTCTGAGTTTCTTCCATCAACTAGAGCATAAGTCCTATGAGGGCAAAGATAATATGACATTTTGCTTCATCCTGGTTTCCCTGGCAACTCAGAATATTCCTCTTTGTGTGTATTTTCCATAGAGCCCAGCACAGTGATTGACATGTGGCTGGTTCTCAGCAAATAAACCGAACTCAGCTAGACAATACACAAGAAGCCCCAAACGACTGCATCTTGTAAAAATAAGCAGTGTGAGCGTCGGAGTTTTCTAAGGAAGTGTTTTTTCCACCTGAGTCAAGAACCACTAATGAGTTAGGGAATAAATTAGCAGTAATGAGAAGCATTAATAACTTAAATGGAATAGAATAAAAATATCAGAAACACCTCAAATGTAGTAAGAGTAGTATCACCTCTGCAACTTTTTTGGGGGGGTTATATATATGTGTAGATAGATAAGGACTGGATCATGATATAATTTTGGGTTGTATTTCTTAATGTGGGTTATGGTAAAAATAGCTTAAAAACTCCTGTAAGTTTTCTCTTGGGTTTCAAACTGATGTAACCAAAACAATGATTCTCTCACACTCATTGCATGCGGTGGAGTTGTACCCTATGTGCTATGTTCAACACAAATATCCAATCCTGCAAGTTCCAGAGAAGAAAACTTACATCAAAGGGCCTGGCACTCCTAGTATTAGAACTACAACTCCTAGGCTGGCCCTTAAATTTTCTTTATTTACCCTTCTATTTTCTACCTCTGTCTGCTCATTATTTTAGCAGACTTCCTTAAATTTATCTTCTAAACCTTCTTTGAATTTTTCCATTCTTACTATAATTTTTTCCCCTCACGCTGAGTGTTGCTCTCTGAATATTGCTTTCTTGGTTTCCAATATTTTTGTATTAAAAAAATTTTGTTTTCTGCTCACTCTTAACTGTGGTGACCTAAACCCCCATTTGGAAGTTCTGAGCATGTGGGTGGATCTTGTCAACAGTAAGCTTCACTCGAGAGAGCTCCGGCTAGGATGTTGAGTTAGCAAAATTCGAGTGTGGATGACTTTAGATCTTCCTTCTCGGGTTGGTCAGCATCTCCAGAGAAACCTCTACCATCCTCTTGTCTGGAGGGTGAGGCCCCCAACTGCCAGTGTCAGCAGAGCCAAATGGGAGAAGGGGCCAAGCACACAGGATGCATTCAGTTACTTGACTCCCCCGTTTCCACAGGGCACCCCCTGCCCTCTGTGTGTCAGGTCTTTCTGGTTGAGGGACTCTCATTTCCAGAGGATAAACCACCTTGTGGGGTGGAGATGACTATTTTTTTTCTTTTTCTTTTGAGAAAGTGGTAGAAGAGACTATTTGTAGTACTTTTGTAATTAAAAAACTTGCTTTTAAATATATATGTAAACGTGCATTCCTTAAGAATAGCTGCAATAAAGTTCATCTACCTTTACATTAGATAACCCCTCAATTGTTAACTATAGCGGATACTGGGACCATAGTCTTCAGTGGAAAGCCACTGAAGAGGGCAAGCAAGACAATTCTCATTACCCACGGGGAACGTAAGACTTCAGCAGAAATTCTTTTATAGGCTTCGATCAATATTCAGTTTAGAACATTTTTCCTCATATGGCATACCCCTGGACAGAAAATGAAGTTATCAAAGTGGCAATGATTTCAATATTTTCTGAAAGTAAATCAAAATTACCCCATAAGGTATCATACAAATTAGATTGATCTAAAAAATGTTGAGGAGTAGGGAATGATGATGATGATGATGAGGTGATGTTAAATGAATCGTGAAGGACATGGCTGAAGGTCATTGAAATTGTCCTTGAAATCCAAATGACTAGAGGAAGCTCAGACGTAGTGATGAACTGCATAATTAACTCCAGGGAAGAAAGGGTGTTATATGGCGAACCCCCAACCCTTCCATGATATGTGGTCTAAGGGACATGCCTGTGAGTTACATCACAAGTGAAGATGAATGTCCCCGTGAAATGAAATGACTCCGCTTTCTTCAATGGTAGGCACATCATGGGTGTTTCATGTATGCTTACTGAAAAGCAGTGCCCTGCATTTATTTAATTTTATAAATCCTTGTGGTTGGCCATCCTGGGAAAATATCTATAACTGAAATAAATGAGATTCATTTTATAACAAGACTCATGTGGCTATCTGATTTCAGGTCAGTGGCTTAATCTTCCTATGCCTTAGTCCTGCCATGTTTAAATTGTAGACTGACCCGAAGATAAAATGCATTATGGTTGTTGGATGTTTCTGTCACCGTCGCTAACCATAATGCTCCTGGGTGCTGAGTCCATCTTCACAGCACCTGCTTCCAAATCAAACTCCATGACACACTCGGTATCTAGATAGGAAGGTAGACACCCATCTACCAAAAGACAGTCTGCCAGCCTGGGGCAATGAGGACCACCGCCATGCCCATCTGGGGATGTCACCCCCAATCACCCCTGTATCAGCGCCCAGACCCATGCCATAGACAGAGGGTGGGATGGGCCAGGGTGGCACCAGGAACAACTAACTTAGACCCCTTCCTGGGGAGGCGGCGGTGTGTGAGCCCAGCTCAGGCCTCTGGGATGACCCACTGTCCCATCAGACGTCACTTACAAACAAATTCAAAGATAAAATTAGTAAGAATTTGGAGACAGCACCTGCAGGTCATTAAAGCCAAAACGTAGGGCCCTGTTGAATGCACTGCCCTGTGTGC